GGGCGCGGTGGGGGAGGCACTGCGGTGTGGTGGGGGGCGGCCCGAGGGGCTGGAACCATCCTAGTTGTTTTTAAAAGATCTTTCTTTTCTTTTTCTTTTTTTAAACCTTTTTTCTTGTTGCAATGGCATCTTCAAGATGTGAATCTCTGTCTTCACTTTTACTCAAACGGTTTTACAGCCTTGTCCTTGAAATTTTAAGCTCTTCTATATTTCTTTGACTCTTGTTTATGCTGCCTACTTCTTTCCTATATTGCTCATTTGAGGATTCCATTGTTTGTCTAATCCCTATTTTTTTTAAATTAATGTCTTCTTGAGAAGCTGTTATTAATTCTTTTACTTCAGAGATTATTTCTGATCTGATTTCCTCTATAGGTTTCTGGGTTTGATTCTTTACTTCGGATGCTATTAATTCAGAGATTTCTGATTTTTTCAGAGGTTATTTCTGATCTGAATTCCTGTGTTCCTTTCTGCAGTTGTTTCTTTACTTCAGACACTATTAATTCTGACATTTCAACTATGCCTTCCCAATTTCTTTTCTGCTAGTTTCTTCTACTCTTTTTCTGGGTGGGCTCAGGGCCTGTGATTGCACTTTGCTCCTTCTCTTTGTCATTTTGTTTAGTACTGTTCTCTGAACTTTGGCATTGAGATTTTGTGCTGTTATAACCTTAGAACCTACTGAAATTTGGGTGCAGATCTATGAAGTTTGAATTCCTCCAGTTTTGCCTGGCTTAGCTCTGGCTGCTGTGCTCAGCTTCTTTCTGCTGCTTCCCTTGGAACTGAACCTTTTGTACTCTTCTTCCAAGATGTTCTGTTTTTGGATTAGCTGGGTGGTTCTGGCCCCTAGCCTCTCTGCAGGGACTTCAGTCACAGTTTCTCCCAGACCTATATACAAGCCTTTGCTGGGTCTGGCATGGTCCAGAGAGTGCGCTGGAAGTTTTTACTCACAATCTGGGCCTGGTCTGGGTCCTGAGGTGTCCAGCATGCACAGGGAATCATGGAAGCTGTCCCCCACAGTAGCCAGGCCTGGACTTGGGCTGTCTGGAAGGGTCCTCAGAATGCTGTGGAAGTTCTTACTCATGCACTGGGCCTGGGCTAGATCTGCAGTGTCAAGCAGGCTCAGGGGTGTGTGGAAGCTCTCCCACACACTTTCTGGGCCTGGGCTTGGGCTGGGTGTGGAGAGGGCCAGAGAGTGGAATAAGTTCTCACTGACAAGCCAGGCCTGGGCTGGATCTGGAAGTGTGGAGGGGTCCAAGACCTCAGCGGAAGTTCTCATGCACATGCCGGGCCTGTGCTGGGTCTGGAAGAGTGAAGAGGATTTCAGAACAAGGAAAGATATTCTTTTCTCCTGGAGAGGAATAAACATTGTGAAAACGGACATAATCTGAAATTTTTATATAGATTGAATGCAGTGTCAATGGCCATTTCTTTAGTATACCTCACAGGTCTGGAGAAAACATTCCTATAACTTAGCTGGAACCAGAAGAGAGATATAGAATAGCAAAAGCAATCCTTGGCAAGAAAGAAAAAGCTGGAAGCATTATAATCCACAACTTAAAATTATACTATGAAACTATTGTGATTTTATCAACACTGTACTGGCAAAAAGAAAGCAGACCTGAGGATCAATGGAACAGATTGGAACATGCAGGTAGAACTACAAACCCACTCAGTTACCTTTTCTTTGACAAAGGTGCCAAACATGTTCATTGGAAAAAAAGCTAGCATCTTTAATACATGGTGGTCTACATACTGGCATTTCACATGCCAAAGGCAAATGTTAGATCCATGTATATCACCATATACCAAGCTATAGTTAAAATAGATGGAAGATTTAAATATTATCACACAAATATGAAATCTGGAGGAAAACAGGTATAAATCCTAACAATAGAGGGGTAGGTAGAGAGTTCATGAACAAAAATCAAACTACAGGGGAAATATTTTAAAGAATTGACAACTGAGATCTCATCTTTTGGGAAAGTTCCTGCACATCAAAAGAAATTGCTAACAGAGTAAAAAACAAATACAACAACTGGCAAAAAATTGTATGTGACTATCCTTGTGACAAAAGACTTTTATCTAGAACATATAAAGAAGTAAAAAATTAGGCTCCTTAAATTCAAAGATTCAGTACAAAGTTTGCATCTGAGATGAATACACATGACTACAAATGGAAAATAAATACATGAAAAAGTGTTCAACATCATTGGTCATTTGAGAAATGCAAATTGAAACAACACTGACGTTACACATGACCAGAGAAAGAATGCCTCTTATCAAAATGTCAGCCAATAACAAGTACTGGAGGGGATATGTGAAAAAGGACCCTTCTCCTCTGTTGGTGGGAGTGCAGACTAGTACAACCACCATATCAATTGATGTGGAAATTTCTCCAGGAACTAGGATTGGAAGTTCATTCAATGCATCTATTCCCCTCCTGAGTATGTTTCCAAACGAACTGAAAACATCATACCACAGTAATATATGTGCATCCATGTTTATAGCAGCACAATTTGTCATATATAAATCTTTGAAATAACCGAAATGCCTATCAAGTGAGGAATGGATAAAGATGTGCTAATTTTACACAATGGAGTATTACTCAGTTATCAGATAAGATAAATTTGAGGTTTTTATCGGTAAATGGATGGAAATAGACAATATAATATTAAGTGAAATGAATCAGTCTCACATGTGCAAGCATTGTACTGTCTTGCTAGTGTAAGAACCTCAAAGAGTAAGTTAAATGTGAAATGTGCAACAGCTACTGTGAATAGGAGACTGGGAATAAAGCTCAGTGTGTTAAGTGCCTGCCTGCAAGATAAAAGTCCTGAGTTCCATGCCCGCTATTGCAGAAAAAATAAAAAAAGTTAAAAAAAGATACTGTGAAAGGGAAAGAATGGCTTTAGGGTTTGAGATATTGAGATGAGGAGAGTTTCAGGAGAGGGAGGGAGGGGTAAAAATGAATATCTATCTATCTATCTATCTATCTATCTATCTATCTATCTATCTATCTATCTATCTGCAGGATGATTGGATAATTGTACTGTTGTTTTCTGATGGTCTATGGAAGGAAGTAGTTAATAATTAAGTTTTTTTCTCATCCTAATTTCTCATAAAGTTCTTTTTTTAACAATTGTGCATACTTATATCTGGTAATTTAAACAACTCACTAGAAGAGAACACGATGTAATACAAAGAATACTGTTGAATTCATATTTTATTTTTTTTGTTTAGTGAAATTCTGTACCCTTTAAAATTTTTCTTATCATTTTGGGTTACCTTTAAAAATAAAAATATGTAAGAAATAATCACTTTCTAAGAGGATGTGTATTAGAGATCAGTTGAAGGACCTAAAACTGTTTTGATTAAATAGTAGTACAAATAGCGATTCTTTTCTTCTTTTTTTAAAAAAATATTTTTAATTAACTTTATTGAAAATCAATAATTACATATCATATTAAAATTGTAGACAAATATTGAAATGTGAAAGATATAAGATGTAGAAAACAAATAGCGATTTTGGAACGAGTGTTGTTTTAAATTTTTAAAGAATAAGATGTTGCAGTAGTGAGATAGCTCAGGGGACTAAAGAGTTGACATAGGCAAGGTTAGGCAAGCACAGGGGCTGAGACTATGCCCAGCACCACATTCCCTACCAGCTCTGCCCCCAATTTGGCTTGAGCCTGCCATAGTGGGGGTGTATTGGTGCGTGCCTGTAATCCCAACACTGTGGAGGCTGAAAGCAGGATCCACATGAGTCTGAGCTGTGTAGTGAGACCCTGAAACCACCAAAAAAATTAAAAGGAAAAGAATAAAGGTTGATCAGCATAAAATTTCCAACGCTGCATCTTCAGTTTCTAAACATTTTCAATCCTTCCAATGCTTTCTATATTTATTGGATGTTCCTTCTTTTTCCTGATTTGTTCATCCTTACATTTTGATGTTGCTCTGGGATTCCTTATTTTTATGCTGGTATATGGATAACTTTGATATGTCATTTATTTAGGTAACTTGGTACCAATCCATGTGCTACATAACAATCATTCCATAGATAATATGTTTTTGTGCTTGTCACAGACATTTGAATTAATATTATTCTTTCTATCTCTTGATATTTCCAAATTCATAAGACAAAATCTGCTCCCCAGGTCAGTCATGATGGTATTGTTAATAGGTCCTCACAGGACAAGTTGATAAAGCAACAGTTTTTGGACAATTGTAAGGATAACAATCTCCTTCATAAGAAATCCACATCTAAGTTCTCATTATGTGTAATGATATTTTAAAACTTATACCAATACTACTTTATTTACACTTAGTTTCCTATTATATGAACATAGGGGAAGACCACATGCACTCAGCTTACAAGTTGTATTGTGATAGGCTGGAAAATAATCACAGATTGAGATTTTTCAATGAAGAACTCTCTGCTTTCTATGCAGGCTTAAGTCCAACAGCTACCAGAATTTCCTAGCCTTCATTTTTGCCATTGAAGAGATTAATAGCAACCCTCATCTTTTACCCAACATAACTTTGGGATATGAGTTCCATAATTTCCTTCACAGTCATTGGAGAATGTTGGAGAGTTCTCTTATTTTGCTCATAAGACAAGATGGGATCCCCAATTATACATGCTGGGGGAAAAGCAAGTCTGTAGCAGTGTTAACTGAATCATCACAGTCAACTTCTGCTCAAAGTGGAGCCTTGCTGGAACTCTACAAATTTCCACAGGTGAGGCAGAATGTTGAAAAATGAAAATATTTTTTGTTAGTGTCATTCCCATTGGACATCAGAGTGAGAGAAGACTGTGTTATTTGTGTTTGAAAGAGTATAACCTCAAAGCATAAGCACTTATTTACTTAATGAGTTGCTCACAATTACTTATTCTGCATGGAAGAGGAGAAAAGCAAAGATTTCTCAAAGTCTAAGACTCACCAGTTATCTTCTGAATAAAGTCTTAGGAAGGTGATTAGAATTATGAAATGAAGTATCTCTTGCAATCATCTTAAGCTACTACTTAGCAAATATCAGGTGTGAGATGGTGGCATATGTGAAGTTTCTTTTTCATATTGCTTCCAATTTTATGTCTTTTAGGTTTCCTTTGGTTCTTATGATCCTATGCTGAAAGACAATGGCCAATTTCCTTCTCTCTACCAGGTTTCCCAAAAGGACACATCTCTGGCCCTTGGCATGGTTTCCTTGATGCTTCATTTCAGCTGGACTTGGGTAGGACTTGTCATCACAGAAGGTCATAAAGGTCATCGATTTCTCTCAGATGTCCATGCAGAAATGGACAGAAACAGAGTCTGTGTAGCATTTGTGAAAATGCTCCCATCTCCTCTTGCATCATATATGCCAAGTACACATGAACACATTGTCCTAAGTGGGGAAACATCACTGGTCAATGTGGTTGTAATTTACTATGACATTGATGGTCTGAATGATTTATACTATGTTATAGAGCCATATATAGCCACATGGAGAGTCTGGATCACAAATTCACAATGGCACGCTGACATGGCTGGGAAAAATTTTATACTTGACTCATTCCATGGTGCTCTGATTTTTTCAAGCCATCATGAAGAGATTTCAGGTTTCAAAAATTTTGTCCAGGCAGTTAATCCTTTCAAGTACCCAGAGGACACTTACCTCACTACCTACTGGTTCCATAATTTCCATTGTTCATTCTCTGATTCTGATTGCACATTGAAGAGCTGTCCACCTAATGCCTCTTTGGCATGGTTGCCTTTGAATCATTTTGACATGGCCATGAAGGATGTGAGTTACAATATATACAACGCTGTGTATGCGGTGGCCCATGCTCTGCATGAGATGATTTTTCAACCAGGAGAAAAGTCTTCAGTGAGAAATAAAGAGTCAATGATGTTTTTTCCCTGGCAGGTAATGTTTCTTTTACTGAATGGCACATAGACATCCATCAATGTCCATTTCTTATATTATACCACACATCCTCTATCCATGAAGCTTAGACTATTTATTCAAAAACTAAAAACATCTTTGTAGCAGCACATTGCTAAGGAAGTAAATCTTGATCTTGATAAAAGTAACTACCAGGCAATCACTGGCAAGGCACAAATATAAGAGAAGTTCATTGCTTTGGTATTATAGATTCAAAAGTCTTGCCCACGAACTGGTTGATTAAAAAATTTATACATTTCATGGAGGGGATAGAAAGGTAGTTCATATTTTGGCCCTATCCCTTTAAGGTCAATGAGGACTCAGGACAGAAGAGAACCTATGTTGTTACATCCTGTAACTCAGCGGTGTCCCAAATTTTCTGATCAAGGTGATTATGGGAACACAGAGAATTAGTGATTAATGATGTATAGTGTGCCTGAGAAGGGCCACCTAGAGAGAAAGCATTTTCAGAGGTTTCACAGAGAGGAAATTGATCAAGTGATGGCTGTGACTCATCCAGATGGCTGACACTGACAAAAGATCTCCAAGCTGCTCTACCTGGTTTCAGAGTAAATCCTGAGTGGATTTGATAGGAAAGGTACATTATTATTTATATAGGTCTCGTGTTAACTTGGTCTTAACCATCCAGCAGAAAAGTATAACGATGAGGTATAAAAAGTAATGCCACATTAATATACTGAGCTATAAAAGGCTCAAGTCAACAACTTCTGACATTGTCAGTTCTGCTGGTAATCCACTACTATTATGAACTGTTGGACTATATTGGGTTATTTTGCTGAATTCAAGTAGTTATAATATTTGAACTGGCGTCAAGCATGAAAAGGTCCTTTGAATACTTCTTCAAAAATATCTTCTGTAACGGCAATGGAACACCCATCTCTGAAAAAACAAAAGAAAATGGGTTGTTTTAATTAAGGAACCTTTTTTTGTTGAAAAAAATATGTATGTACAAGGTAGTTAGGAATGATGTGCAGCTATTTTCTCTTAGTTCAAAGAGAAGAGAGCTTTGCACTAATATTGTTTAGACAAGATATCATGTTTTCATCTTTTCCTCTGAATAAATATTATGAAGACAATAATGTACAATGTATGAAATATTGTAACTGTCCTACTAGCCTGTTTTGAAACTGTTTCGTTGCTGTTTTATTTTCTCATTAAAATGAATGAAAATGAAAAAAATTAAAGTTTTTTCCTTTTCAAGGATTTCTTTTTTTTCAATTGGAAAGTTTCCCTTTTTTTGATTTTGATTATTTTAAATTGTTTTATTGGTTTTATTGCTTTTTTTTTTTTTTTTTGCATTTTCTTTCATTTTGGTTAGGCTTCTTTCCCGTAGATGCTCTTGGAGATTTTAGAGCAAAATGGATGTTGGAAGCTTTGATTTTACAGTGTTATTTTGTCCAAGCAATTTGTACAGTGTTTGTTTAAGTGAGGCTATATTGAAAATCTTCTCCTAAAGTTAATGTGTTAAAGAAATATATCAATGTGTTATTCCTCAGTAGGATGTTATTTAGGGCAGTATATTAGATACCATGTTAAAGTAGCTATATTAGTAAGTATTTAATTTAGCTTTATGAATTCATTCTTTATTCATGTATTTTTTTCTCAAACATGGACCATGGTTCACCATATACTCATTTTATTTTAGTTGCACCCATTTCTGAAAAATATTCAGTTTAAGAATCCTGCTGGAGACCAAGTGAATTTGGATGATAGATTGAAAATGGATGCAGAGTATGACATTTTCAACTTTTGGAACTTTCCAGAAGGCCTTAGACTAAAGGTCAATGTAGGAGTATTTTCCTCCCATGTTCCACTTGTCCAACAATTGTCTATATCTGAGGATATGCTAGAATGGGCCATGGCAGCTACACAGGTATATTCAACCTAATCATATTACACTTTGTCCTAATCAGCATATTGTTGAAGTTAAAGGCCATGAAATGGCCACATGGAATTTGAAGAACTCAATTTTCAATCTGAAAAAAAATTCCCTTTTTCCAATTTTGTGATGAACAGAAAGGAATATATACAATTAATCTATTTTTGTAAATATTTACGTGACTCTTTATTTTTTATTTTTTAAAGTTTTTAACTAATTTTAATGAGAAAGAAATAGCAATGAGATGGTTAGTAAGACAGTTACAATGATTAATACATTGTGTATGGTCTTTGTAGTAGGTATTCACAGTTCAAGATGCATGCATGATCTCTTGTCTAAATATTAGTATAAATCTTTCATCTCATTGAACTAAGAGAAATTGGCTGTAATTCATCCAGATGGCTGATGCTCTATATGGTTTCAGGGCAAATCTTGAAGTTATTTGACTGGCCTTGTCAGATACAAAAGCAACATTTTTAGTTATATAGGTCTTTTTTTAATTTGATCTTAACCATCCAGCAGAAAATTACAGCCATAAGGTAAAAAAAGTAATGCCATATTAATATGCTGAGCTGTAAAAGGTTCAAGTGAGCAACTTTGACAATTGCCAGCTCTACTGATAACCCACAACTATTATGGAGTATTGAATTATATTGGGTTATTTTTCTGACTTCAAGTTCCGTGGCTTCAATCATGAAAATGTCCTTTAAAGAATTCTCCAAATACAGCTTCTTGGTGCATCTGGGGCATCCTACATTTAGGACTTCTCTTTGCACAACTGAGGCTGCCCATGGTGGCTCTGCAGCTGTCATCATGCCACAGAATGAAGATATTGAATTACACCGTAAAAGCTATGGGTACTGCTTGGATTACTATGAGAAAAAGAGAAAGAAGGAAATTCGAGAGACTCATGAATGTTCAAAAAAGGCAAAAAAAGGCAAAAAAAAAAAAAGATTGCTCTGAAGGCTAAGCTATATCACAAATGGCATCATGCAGAGAAAATACAAATGAAGAAGACTATCAAGATGCATGAAAAGTGAAACATCAAACAGAAGAATGATGAAAAGACTCCACAAGGAGCATTACCTGCCTACCTGCTGGATAGAGAAGGATAAGCTAGTGCAAACGACTTTCCAACATGATTAAACAAAAACAAAAAGAGAAGGTGGGAAAATGGGAAGTTCCTCTGCCCAATGTTCATGCCCAAGGAGAAATGGAAGTATTAAAAGTTATTTGAACTTGAAAGAGAAAAAAGAAGGCATGGAAGAGGATGGTCACTAATGTCCTCTTTGTTGGAAGTGACTTTACAAGAAAACAACCTATATATGAAAGACTCATTAGGGTTTTTTTTTAAATAAAAGATTCATGTAACACATCCTGAACTGAAAGCCACTTTTTGCCTGCTAATACTTGGTGTGAAAAATAATCCTTCATTGCCACTGTATACACCTTTGGATGTTATTACCAAAGGAATAATGATTGAGGTGAATGTGAGCAAATTGGGACTTGTGACACAACGAGGCAAGGTTATTTGGGATAAATATGCCCAGGCAACCAACAATGTTGAAAATGCATCAGTGCAGTCTTACTCGTTTGACATATGTTTCATACAGTAACTTCTTCTTCTTCTTTTTTTTTAACAAATAAAATGAAGTTAAATTTATTGTTAAAATTAAGGGCTCACTCATACTTCATTGTTATTGCAAGAAGGTTTTTCATTTATTAAATTGCAGCATTAGGAAATATTCAGATATAATGATAAATACTATTAGAGTTTAGAGGTTCTAGCATGGGGTTCTGAACAATGTAGATTGTGAGCCCTGCAGCCATCACACAATCTTTATTTACTGATGGGTGAAGGGGTTGTGGAACAATCCCAGGCACAGAGATTGTTGCAGTATCAGAAACTTCCAATACTCTGTGGCTACTTTCAAATTCTGTTTGTCATCTCAGTTCAGGTCTTAAAAAAAACTGTGTTGATATGAGACAGGATGCTCCTTAGAACAGTGGCTTTGGCCTATTTTGCGTCACAAACTGAGAATATGAGGAGCTGAGAAACTCTTTACAGAATGTGTGGATAGTTAGAGTGCGCTGGAAGAAAAGCTGCAAAAGGAATTGCCAAGCATGCTTAGCAGAAGTTAAAAAAGGAGACACAAAGAGTGGAGCTATTTTACTTGACATATCACAGAGAGGAAGACAATCTTACCTGTTAAATACTGCAGAGTTTTCCTGAAAAACTATAACACAACTTAACTAGCTGCTTAAAAATCCAAAGAATGCAGCATATGCAGCACTATATATGCTTACTACACAGTAAAGGCAGCACCTAAAGTCATGAAAAATATTATTTTAATAACATTAAATTGTCAGGCTGGTAATTCTATCAGCTCTGCCTCAATATCTTCAACTAAAAATGACAAATTTACAGATATAATGAGTTGATACAGTAACTTTTTACACTTCTTGAAGACTACAGACCAATCAGGAAAACCATAACCTGAATACTGCTGAACAGCTCTCCTTACTACATTCATCAATAAAACTATTTATTAAATTATAAGAGCATTAAAGTAGCCAAGTTTCACAAATTGGTCTTTTATTATGGGTGTGGTAAGGGCTTATGTATTAGTGAAATTGAACCATTTGAAAAAGTAAACATAAGTCTTTGCATTAAAAAGTGGGTACTCAGCAACACAGATCTCTCATTCCTAAAAAGCTACAAGCATTTAAAGTCAGTGCAAACTTAATTTAGGCATTTAGGGGCAGGAAATCTGCTGAAGCTATTTTACCTGATCATTTTGCATTAGTCCTAAAAAAGTAATGTTTAAGTTTATTCTCAATATACTCTATCTATAATACTTTAAGAATGTATAAGAATAAATTTCTAATACATTAGAAATTTATTTAGATAATACCAACTTGGTTGCACTTTTGCCCTGAACAGAAACTTTATTTGTAGTTAAATAATATAAGAAGGTTATATGTTGGGTGTGCATCTCAAGTTTTGTGATTTGAATTCAATGATCATGGATTGAAAAAACAAACAAACAAATACAGCTTCTCTAACAGGAATGGAACACCTATCTCTGACAAAACAAAAAAGGGGGATATAAATGAAAGATCATTTTGTAGTGAATATATATATATCAGTTAGGATGGATGTCTCTTATTCTTATTGAGATAAGCCATTTAACTATTTAATAAAATTTATGTGTTTACTCAAGCTTAGTTTATTTTGCTATTATCAAGGAGTATTATTTTAATATATCCCAAAATATATTTTTCTCCTAGACTCCCCACTCTGTGTGCAGTGAAAGTTGTAATTCTGGATTTAGGAAGACTCCTCAGGAGGGAAAGCCTGCCTGTTGTTTTGATTGTACGCCTTGTTCAGAAAATGAGGTTGCCAATGACACTGGTAAGAGCGTGTCTTATGAACAAATACTCTTTATTCCTTTAGTTTGTCTTACTAATTACTTTAACCATTGAAACACTGCCATTTGTCCTTTAAACTATACACTTTCATTCATTTGTCTTTTTTCTGTTTTTGGAGAGTGCTTGGGAATTAATTGAGAGGTTCTCTACCACTGAGTTTCATGATCAGTCATTTCTGTTTTGGCATTTTGAGACAGAAACACATAAGATACTCAGACTGAACTAAATTTGTGATTGTCCTTGTGAACTGGTTGATTAGCTAGGTTTACAGCTATGAGTCTCTATGCATGGCCACATTGATTAATATTTGTGGACCCATTAAGGCCTTGTTTTTCAGACAAAACAAAACCCATTGCCACTAGTCAATGGTTTCTGTTTCATCTCTGTCATAAAGATTAACATAAAATATTATTGAAGAACAACACTTTCCATTCATTCAAAATAAAGTTAGTTTAGAATGTAGACAATGCTTTTCAATGTCCCCATTTTCAAGTGTATTTTTGCTTTGTGCAAAGGAGTACCTCAGGGTTATAATACAAAATCTTTGTTTCATATAGTATAGAACATGTTTACAGTATGGTAAACATGGAATGCAGGAATGTTTCAACATAGGCAAATCCATAAATGTAATATACCACATCAATAGAACCGAGAACAATTCCACATGATCATCTCAATACAGGCAGAAAAATCTTTGGATAAAGTCCAATACTCATTCATGGTAAAATACTACAAAGAATTGTAATGTGTGGCCTATATATCAAACTGATAAAAGCCACCTATGAGAAATCAACAGCCAACATCGTACAAAAACTGAAGGCTGGGGCTGGCAAGATAGCTCAGTAGTCTAAGCACTGAAGCAAGTGCAAAGACCTGATTTGAACACTGGTACTGCATGCTTTGCCAGTATGAGCTGTGTAGTGAGACCCTACATCAAATAAATCAATAATCAAATGATTTGGGCCAGCCAGAAAGCTCAGTGAACTAAAACACCTGCTTAGGCAGAGTTCAGCGACTCGAATCTGATCCCTGACATGCTTTACCAGTCCTGCCTCTGGGTGCAATGAGATGGTGGTTGAGACTGGGAATGGTGGCATGCACCTGTAATCCTAGCTCTTGGGAGGCTGAACATAGGCAGATCACTATGAATACTATCTACATAGTGAGAACCCTGTACTAAATTAAAAAAAAAAAACAACAGCCTAAGTTGTATGGTAATAACAATAAGCTTGTCTTCTGGATGGTTAACAACCTAAGTTTGCAGACCAAAATTAGAGAAAAAAGAGGGCCTCAA